CCCGCGTCCGTGCTTCTCCGCGGAGACATGACACGCTACCGCGAGCGGTCAGCGGAAAACCCTTTTTAGCTTCTATTGCTCCTTTCAGACGCGCTTGTTAAAAGATCTAACCGTCTTTTACTACACGCCAGGGGAAGAAATGTAGTCATTTTACCCGTTAAGGCAAGAGCCACCTTTTCCTTTAATCCCTTATCAATAATGTCTTCACCTCTGCTTTAGAACAAGAGTAGCCCTTGATTTCACGACAGACCTCGCTCCATGTGAAGCACACACTGCTTGGTGTGTCAGACACTAAAAAAGGCAATTTTTCAACAGGGAGTGAAACATGCCAGCCCTATTACAGAACTGGCCCGAGAACTCTCATGCCTTACAGAGCAGGAAGCATTGCTGTTAACTCTGAATCCTCTCCACATGTTTTTGGCAGGGTGAAGATGAGTGATGAAGAGATTCTCGTGTGTGCGGTAAAATTTGGAGAAAATTTCTGCCTCTATTTTGAAGGTAATTACTGGCCATTGCTGAAAGAGACACACGGTGTCTTATTATGGCATAGAAAATCAAAAGCTGATACACGGTTCAATCCTTGCCTTGGGCTGGCATCCCTGGTTTTGTGGTTTTGTCCCCCCCTCCTCCGTGTTACCTGAGCAATCCTCAAAGCAGTTATGATGCCCACCCACTCAGAAGAATCATAGTTCTTAGATTACAGAGCCAGGCTGTCATGGCAAAAAGAATCTGAGTTTGACAAAGCTGTCTCTGTGTGTTAGCAGGTCCTTACTGTATTATCGCTGAACACCTTAAACATGTAGTAACTTTTTCTGTCTGAATACTGATAAAAACAATTCCTTTTATTAGTCTTATTTTACCTAATTTTCCCATAAGCTTCAGTTTGAAGTACTGTTAGCCAAGTATCTGAGTCAATGGAATATTTCTTGCTTCATACGTTATACTCCTGGAAAGGACACTCAAAAGGGTTGGAATACTGTGGGGTGGACTTGGAATAAGTGGAAAACTTCCAGTGTTACAAAGTTAGCGTCTTCAGAAGGAATCTGAAAGGGCTGTTTCTTGTCCTTTCGTTCACTTAGAATAAAGGTGTCAATGAAAACAAAACACGTATTCTTTGCTTATAGGCTCAAACTGACTTGAGCTGCTCACCCTTCAGTAACCCTAAAACATTTTGCATGCCTCTTGGTTTGGTGGTAACTCCAGTTCTCAAATGACTGATGGTTTCATCCTTCTGTTGAGTTTGTTATGCTCACAAGTCAAACACACTCTGTGGTTAGAACAGCTCAGCTTGGTGAGTTAGTGATACTGGGGAGCACAACTGGAAATGCGTGGGCAGCTGGCTGGCTTCCAATCTTGCAGACCAGAACTGGGTAGAATATGGTTTCCTCTGTGGGAGCAAGGTTTAATTTTGCTTCTTTCTTTCCTTTTTTTCATTGCTCACTTGGAACCAAGATGATGATGGTAAGCTGAAAGCTCATAATTTATTAACTTCATTGTCAGTTTTATTACTCGAACTAACCTGCTTATGCTTACTAACGCATAAATGCTTTGTGTGCCCTAGAGAACAAGGGTCTGAACTGATAATGGCCACTGTAAAGAAGAAAGCTACTGCTCACCTCCTCCTCCTGAGGTTGATGCTGCTTTATTTCCTTCTAAGGTACAGGGTAGTGGCTTCCCTAACAGAAGGACCTTTTAATACAGTTCTAAGTGCTGGGCATAAGAGAAAACGGTTGCTTCTGAACTCACATTAACAGATACAGCACCTTCTCTTGCTTATATATACAGACTGTTGTACTCCGGGAAATCCTTCTGCCTTGCCTGGGTTACTACAAGCCAGAGGCAGAAAGAATGACATGGCCTCCGTTTTGTTTGAGATTGAAGAAATTATTTCACCTGCTATCCTTAATGATGAGATTAAACCTGTAGCAAACTGTTACGATCTGAGGAGATTACAGCTCAAATGTTTGATCCTCTTTGCTTAATACTTCTGCAGGGCTGGAATGTGATGCCTTTTGTAGGGAGAAAGTTCTGCACCGAGTTCTTCGAAATGTGAACAGCCAGTTGCTTGTGGTTCGCCCAGATTTAAACATGGCAGCTTTTGAAGATGTGACTGATGAGGAGCTGAAATCTGGTACAGCATCTTTCAAATATAATCATTGCACTGTTTCTTTAATCTAGATATGCTTTTGTTCTTTTGTAATCACTGACTTCAAATGATGAGACTGAGAATAAGGACTTAAATTTCATTTCTAAGAATAAAACTAGGAGTGTGTCAAGATCAGGGCTGGGCTGGCCACTAAACACTGACAGAGAGCTAAAATTTTGTGTCTTGTGCGCTGCTAACAGATTAGATTCCTGGATGAGACTGAGACCTGCAGGATGTCCCGTGTGGAAAAGGGCCGCTAAGATTTTTTGTTAGCTCTGGTCACTGACTAAGTTCTTAATCTCTTTTTTGTGTGTGTTTGATTACAAAAACCATTTTTAGGCTTAAACAATATAGTTAGTACTTAAAACTCTTACTTTCTAACAGCAGTAGTTAACAATGTACTTCCAGGTTTGGATTTCACTTTTTAAGGAGGCCCCAGCAATTCATTCAGAATTATATTGAATATATTTATCTGCAGATTATATATATGTATGTATACACACACAGAGATATAATCTGATTTACAGATAGCGTTTCACAAATCCAGTTCTCACTTTATGCATGCATGTAAAAGGATTTGAATGTCTTACCCATCTTGCTGGTTATTTCACATGGTTCCTTGCAAAGTCTTTCGACTTTGGCAATTGCAGTATTGCATAAAGTAAAGTACGTGCTACCAGCAGTCATAAAAACTCAAGTCCTGGCTTTCCTGTCAGGAGAAGTATCCTGGGATGGTAAAACATAATACAGTTACACTGTTGCAGCTCTCTCCCGAACAGACTATTAATAATAAACAATTTATATTTAGGCAGTGGAATGCACTTCAACATTCATTATTACAAAACTACCACACCTTCAGCAGGGATGCCTGTTGCATTCAGCATCCAGGTAGAAGATAAAAGTTATTACATGTGTTGTGAGAAAGAATGTGGAAAAATGATAGTTCGATTTAGGGTAAGTACCTGCTTTCCATACCTTATGGATATATAAATAGGCAAAACTAAGAACTGAAACACGCGTGAGCGGAAACAAAACTGCTCGGGTCTTGTGCAGGGACTAACACCGTTCCCTTTTTCTTCCTCAGGAAGGAGAACCTCCCAAAGAAATTCCTGGTGAAAGTAATGTAATCTTTTTCAAAAAGATGTTTACATCTTGTAGCTCCAGAGCATTTAAGTTTGAATACTCGCTAGAACAAGGAATGTTCTTGGCCTTTGAGAAAGAAGGCTGCTTAAGAAAATTAATTCTGAAGAAACTGCCAAGAGAAGATGAAGTGGATGAAACCATAAAGATAACTTTCTAACTTCAGTCAGAATGGAATTTGCAACCTATGACATACTTTGTCTTAAAATATATTTTGGCTTCTTATAAAATAAATCTTACTCCTTCTTTGTCAGAGGCAAGCCAGTTTTGCATTTTTAGCTACCATAAATCAGCACAGAAATAAGCGTCTTACACAGGAAAATTAAATTCAAATTCTTGGCAAAAAGCAGCAGCATGGACGTTACTCTTGTATTAAGTCAAATCTCAGTCACCTCTTTAAGGACAAAACATATTCAAAAAAATGTTCTAACATCTAAATGAAGTAATGCAGCGTGACAGTATGAACAATAACATAACAGTATGAATTAGTTTTTGAACCTCAAACCCCCAAATTATCTGGAGAGAAAACATTTTCAGTAACCCACAAGTAGTAAAAACCATTCAGAAGCACAAAAACAATTGCTGTAAATTCTTTATTGTACAGATTAAGAAAAAAATATTCCCTTTTCTACGCCAGCTCTCAGGGTCCAAAGACTTACAGGGCGTGCCTTACCTACAATTCAGTTGTGATGTCAGAAAAGTTCAATTTTCTGCAAGTCAAGTTTGTTTTACAAAACAGGAACCCAAACAACAGTTATTTTATAAAAACACTCATTAAAGCTACCATTACAAGGACAGTTACCTTCAGCTATGCGAGTCTGTGTCATTGATGCAATTATTTCTTCCCAATTTACAGTGCAGCTTAAATCAACTCATTCTCCCCTGGACATTATCCACTTTAAATCTTTCCTTTCCAATATTTTTACTGCTGTTGGGTATTTATTTCTAAAATATTAGCTCTGAACTTACTGCAGTATGAACACAGTACGGACCCTCGGTTATTCATTTATTTTGCATTAAACACGTTGGTAACAATATGATGAAGCAGAGGCAGCAGTGAACAATCATGTTTGTCAGGGACTTGGTCGCGTCTTAGAGGCTCCACAGCATGGCAACGGCCTTGCAGATACCAACATCGTGATAGTTAAAGTAGCAGAGGCCAGCGAAGGTAACGGCTGACAGTACATACAGACCTGTGTTGGCCACTTTAATGGGTACATCTCCATGGACATAGTCAGTTATAACCTGCCCAAGACCCCTACGGAATAAGAGAGAGAAAAAAGCTGCAATCAGGAACGAGCATTCTTCACTGAAATCCATCTCTCAGTAACGTTAAGTAAACACTGAGCTTATATATATATATAAATTTAACAGAATTTGTGGAATGTTTTCATTTTGGTTTGGTTTTTCAATAGATGCATCTTCTTTTTTAGTAGGAGCTGGGCATTTTGTAATAAAGGTTGATGATAACCGGTGAAAAAGATGTGTTTGAGCCATCTCAGTAGAATACTCACAGAAACCCCTCAAAAATACATGCAATATTCCTCTGATCAGCTACTAGGGGGGTTATCTGATCTGTTACGGCAATCAAGTTAGTGTTTATGGCAAGGAAACAATCTTTTTTCTTTTAAAGATATTCTAGCACTGTATACCTATGGAAGTATAAGATGAGAATTTTCCTACACAGAAACACCTTTAGGTTTTTAAGACAATGGTTTGTAACATAGGAGTTTCATACTGGAGAAGCTTTCCAGCGTAAAAAGAGAACAAGAACTCCGCACAAGTTGGGGAGGAATTCACTCTGATTAAAGTTACCAGCAGAGATGCACACAAGCTTTATCCCTGCAACAAGGAATTACAGACTAATATCACCTCAAGAATGTAAACGCTGCCCATCAGGCCAACCATGCAGCTGGATCCACTCCGAACTAGACTCAACGGCACTACTCAGATTAAAGATCGCAGCAGAACTACACTTAAGGGGAACATGAGCAAGCATGCCTTTCCCAGCAATCAAGAAAATAACCATCAAGGTCTCGGTTTCCTTAATGGAATATTTGCTGTCAACTCTTTATTATGCAGAATCTCACCACTGTTGAGATGTACAAAGCCAGCCCGTGGCACTTAGAAGACCAACTGGCTTTAGACAGATCTGTCCTGCTTCTGTTCCCTCTGTTCACACAACATTGAAGTTTCTACAGGATAAAAGACTCTACAGTGCGAGTGGCAAACAAGCCCTCCTAAGGGAAAATACTGTGTAGAAGAACACTGGAGAAAGGTTTTGGATTCCTGAGGAGTAGTACCTATCCTGCCTTCTGACCGAGTGAACACTGTGACAAAGGAAGACCAGGGTACAACTAGTCTTGTCAAAGATCACGACTGTCACGGAATTTGGAGAGTAAGGACTTGGTCTGCATCTCTTTCCAGGTGTTCTATACTAGATTAGGCAGTAAGCCAGCAGACTTAGAGCTACATATGGATTTAACACCTATGCCTTGGAGCCATACTATCAGGCCTTACCCTTAGTTCTGAGGGACCTCTTGTGCTTACCAGTGGCCATGGAGAGTGAGGGCTGCGGCCAATGAATAGTCCATGGCCGGGCCAGGGTACAGGTACGCTGCAGGAAGAAGACCCAGCAGAAGAACACTGACAGCTCGCTCACCTGTCCAGTGCAAAGATGCAGCCTTGGAACTGCCTGTAAGGAGAAGTATTTTTCAGTGCAAAATTCCTGTTCAGAGTGCTGTACCCTTAAAAACAGACACCTCATCAGCACACCTGATCAGCACCACACAATTCTATGTTTTCTCCAGCCTGATCACTACACTTTCATCCAAGCAAAACCTCTGAATACTGCTACAGAATGCATACCTATGTGACCTCCAGTCACATTTCTCATTATTTATCTGTGCAACTGACAGACTGGAACTTGGTCTTGGCCTATTTATCTTGGCATGCTATCATCCTTCTGTGTAGTCCTACCACACGGAGAGAAGAAAAAGCAATTTCAGAAGTACCGTCTGACTGCAGAGCAGACTTCTCAGATTAACCTCAATGAATCAGAAGCTCTACTGTTTAAGAAAGAAAACCACAATTGCTGTGTTTTCATATTATTACTGCTACTAAACAATAAGAAATGTTGATCCTTCTTTCTAATTTCATCTTAAATCTTTCAATCATCTTTCCATGATCAGAAAAATCTTTAACATTAATATCTCCTTTTCAGAGACTTGCGGCATTTAGGTACTTGGTACCCACACCGCAAACGTCAGTTTCGTATTCAGGTAGTGTAAAGTCACATATATCTTGTTTTAAATCACAGTCGGGCAGAGTGCAAGCCAACAGCCGTGCTCTCAAGTGGAACCAGAACTGTCAGAGGCGATGGTCACAGACGAACTGTGGTTACATTTGTAAACCCCACCTCACCCGAGAAAAGCCGCTGTGCCGCGCACTACTTTTCCTGCTCTTGGTTACTAACACCTGCCATTTAAAATCTCCCACCTGGCT